TCTTGGCGCGCTTTGGCATCCAGCCCGTCAGCGAGGAAGAGCTGGACGGCCACGCGGCGCAGGTCCTGATCAGCGGCCCGCGCGGCGTGCGCGTGGAGGGCCTCCCCGCGCGCTGCACGCTCGCGGAGCTGCTGGCCGGCCCCGCCGTCAGCGAGCAGGAGGCGCGCGGCTGCAGCCTGCGGCTCAACGGGCGTGCGGTGCCGCTGCTCGACGCGCGCCGCGGCGCGGCGCTCAGGACGGGGGACCACGTCACGTTCGTTCCGGAGCCGCTGCTGAGGCTGGCGCCGCACCCGGCGCCCGCGGCCGCGCCCGCGTTCGGTCTCGGCGAGGGGGCTGGCGCGGCGCGGCTGGACAGCTTGGACGTCTACCTGCCGGGATGCGAGGCGCCGGTGGAGGTCGCGCTCGGCCGCGCGGCCGCGGCCGCGGCGCCGCTGCGGCCGTCGGCGCTCGTCTCGTAGGGCGCCGCCGCGGCCGCTGCCAGCTGGAAAGAGAGCGGCCTCCTTGACCAGCGGGACATGCCCACTCTTGGGGGAGCTGGCGCGCCGAGCCTGGCCCCTGGAGCGCAGGCCTCGCCGCTCTGCAGTTATCAAGCTGTGGGCCTCGCAGGTGCCTTGGATCAGCCGGCCGTTGGGCCCTTGCCGGCGGCGTTCCTCATTGTTTGCTAGGGCAGCGTGACAACACGACAACCCTCACCTCACCTTGCGCACCTGGGGGGCTGGAAACCGAGGGCCCCCGCGCACGCACCACAAATCTCTGTTTAGCAGGTTCGCTGCCGGCGTTCGGCCTGCAGCATGCGCATACCACACGCGTCCCTGGAACAGCCGCGCACGCCCCCCGCCCTGCCGGCCCGGGTGGCGGCGCGCGGCAGCAAACATCGGCGCCGCTCCGGCCGCGCGCCGGGGCTGGGCGCGCGCCTGGGTCCCTCAGTTTGCAGGGCCCAAGGCGCGCCGCAGCCTCGGTCGCGGCGCGCCCGCGCGTGCGGGGCCGCGAGCGCGCCGCACTATGTTTCCAGCACAACTCATGTACACCACCCGGCCAGCACTGTGCGCCGCCTGCCTTGGCGCGCACCCTGTATCACCACCACCACCACCACTACCAAATCAGCGACCGATTGTGCGAGCAAGTCTGTACAACACGCCGCGCCGCCGCGGCGGGAGAGGCACCGCTCTGCATCACCATGCCAAGGGTTCTGAAGCAGCAGCCGCCAGCCGGCGCCGCCCGCAATTCCGCGGGCATCCTGCTTGTGGCGGTCCGACGCGCGGCCCCGCGGCCGCGGGCCAGTTCCAAGGGGCCCGCCTACCCCCACTTTCCATGTGACATCGATTGAGCTTCGGCGCCGCTGGCGCTGGGGCGTGTACCACATTCCTGCACCCCTCTGTTGCCGCCCTGCACCGCACCGCATAGCGCCCCCGTGAACACAATGCCCCCGGATTCTCGAGGTACAAAGGCTGCTGCACGCGCGGGCTGGCATGCCTTGGCACTGCTCGCCCTGCCTCATCTATACAACACCCGATGGTGCACGGCGCAACTGGGGCTGCATAATTTGAATTGATGGGGATGGGCACGGCGGAACTGTGGGTGCTCCTGGAGCTTGCTGTCTAGACTGGTGGGGGGTGGCCACCGAGCACCCGCCACACAGAGGCGACCACCGTTTGGCGGCATCGGGTGCAGCGACGCAATGTCGCTGCCTGTCAGATCGGCACCCACCGGTGACACTGACAAACGGATAACCCGCTTTTTGTGTGATGCTGAACCGGGCTGCACTGTACGATTACGCCTGTGTGTGACTAGAAGGGCCCCACGTTCACACCACCCGGGGTGCCTTGGTGGGCAGAAAGCCAACAGGCCCAGTCGGTCGGATCGCACATCACTCTTGACAACTGGTAACAATACCTAAATACTCATAATGGCCAGATGATAAGAGCACCAGCAGAGCAGCGGTGTGCAGCGTGCCGGAGTGGACGCGCGCTGTGCAGGAGAGTCGGGTGTGACCGCAGTGCACTGCTGCATTCCAGTGTACAGTTCGGCGACGTCATCGTCCAGGTCAACGGTCGTGCCCAACGAGGCTAGGAATATGGCGGGCGAGTCAGTATGCACTGGATATTGTATCAACATACGTATTTCCTTAACAAAGTAGCATGGGCGCGTTGCGGAGGCGCCGTGTGCAAGTCGCCGACAGGCAGCGTCCGAAAAAGACAAGCTTTGCCTACCAGCCTAGCTAGAACCAGTGACTTCTTTAGCAAACCACGCGCAAAAAAATATGTCCCCAACGGCGCGCTTACTGTATTCAGGCGGGGAGGCAGTTGCTGGCAGCCTGTTCGAAACTCTTCAAGACCATGCCATATTCTTGTTTCACCTCACACTCAGGGTTTCAAAAGTGTCTTTGACAGTCTAATAGGCCTTGCCGCTCGGTACCTATCTTCCTAGATCACAGATCAGTCTCGCAAGCATGCTCCTCTCTGCCCAGAGCCGCGCTGCCATGAGGCCTGCGGGACCTCAGGCACGCCTGATGTCTGTACGCCCCACCGTGGCCCGGAACATCAGGGCGCGCGCGAGCGAGCCGTCTGGCGTCGATGCTGAGGAGCTGCAGAGGAAGCTGGAGCGTGTAAGCTCCGACATCAAGGTACGTGGCCTGTATTTGTGGCCGCTTGAGCGATCGCGCGCCGCTGCCCCACTTCCCGCCTGGCGGGCCAACTGAATGACACTGCCACGTCGCCCCCACGTTAAAAAGAGCCAATCTGCGCATATCGCCTCTCTGATTGCGTGCATATAATCCAATGGGAGCATGCGCCTGTGATGCAAGCATCAGGACTGTGACCGCAGCAGCGCTGAGCTGTGATGCCTACAGCATCCTCTGGCTGTGCTTGCGGAACGCATGGGCGTCCCCGACCTCGCAGCCACGCCTCAAATCCAAGGCTCCCCCACCCAGCCTCTTTGCCCCCGTCCTTGCTCCCCCCTCCAACTCCAGGAGAAGTGGGAGAAGACTGACGACAAGCCTGGGTGAACGCCGGCGCTGCTCGGCCTGCTTCTTGGGGGCCGCCATATTCTTTGCAACCTTCACTCTTCCGGTCGCGCCTTCTGCAGCCCGCTGCCCTGTCCCGGCCCTGACCTCCTGGTGCGGCCCTTGCCAATCATATCCGCAGGGCTGTCCTGGTGATCGGCGGCACTGTGGTCGCCGTGGCGCTGGCCTTCAACCTTGTCAACGCCATCGACAAGATCCCCGTCGGTGAGCCACCCACACACCTCGCGACTTTTTGCCCAGCCCCGCTCTTGTGTACCAAGGCCAGGCAGGGGGCCTCAAGGGCCCTCCTGCCAGAGACGAGAGGTTCAGGACGCTTTGGTGCAGCCCTGCACGATGGTCGCCTGCTGGCTGGCAACGGGGGCACAGCGCCGCAACCCTGCCGCCCAGGGATTCCCCTGGCACAACCTCACAGCGATATATGCAGCAGCAAGCAGCATCGCTAAGCCCATTCCCCCCCCCCTGCGCCCCGCAGTCAGCGACCTCATCGAGCTGGTCGGCATCGGCGTCACTGGCTGGTTCACCTACAGGCGCGCGCCCGGCCCGCGCGTGTCGAGCCTGCTCTCTAGCCTTGCCCGTTTCGGGACTGGGGGTGTCCAGTGTTACACCGCGCACGTTGGTGTGCGGCGGCTGTGTATAGTTGCCAGCGGCTTCCAGCGGGCCCATTGCCTGATGCTTGTTGACTCTCATACTGCAGGTACCTGACCGTTGGGCCCGACAGGGACGAGCTCTTCATTAGCATCAAGGTGGGGCCCACAGCACCAGGACAGCGCCCCAAACAACACAAAACGCCTGCCGACCGCGGCCCGCGGTCGACGCGGTCATCGCGGCATCCGCGCTCGTCGCGCCGGATCGCGACGTGCTTTGCAACCTACTCCCGGTCCCGCCCTCGCCGACAGCGCTGCCGTGTCGCGACCGCTGTGCGTGTGTGACCCAACACCAACGTCGCCCCGACACCCCCCTCCCCCCAGGAGTTCTTCGGCAAGGTCTACAAGTTCTGAGGGGCTGGAGCAGCAATGACGGCGGCTGCCTGGCGACCGGGCAGCGTGCCCGCTGCTCTTCCCCCCTCCATGTGTGGAGGCAGCGGCAGTGTGTGTGTGCCCACGCAGTTTTCTTTGGCCGGTGGTGCCTGTACTGTCTAGTCGCGACTCTTGCCGCGCAACTCAACGGGGATGGTGCGTTGTCGCCGACCCGGCGCTCAAAGGCGTGCGCTTTACTCAGCAAGCCGGCAGCAGCAGCGGCGTTGTGAGACGACGGTGTGTCGGCGTCTCGTTTTGGTTTCGCGGCACAATCTGCTGCAAAGCTTTTTGAAACCGCAATTCAGCCCGCCCGCGTTGAACCGTTTTCCAGGGGGGCTTGGTCGTGACGGCCGGCGCGCACATCAGCCGGCGCCGTGCCCTGATGAACACACACAACGCAAACCACAATTCCAGTTGTAATCCAGACCTCGGCGGCGCCTTGTACTGCGTCAGCCCATCCAGGTCGGCCAAAACCCTCCCGCTGTGCTGCAGAGATCGGCGACAGCTGAGCAACCCCACCAGCCAGCCGCTGACAGCCGCCGCCTGTGCGGGACTGCTTCCTGCAGGCGCCTGCGCCTGACGCGCCCTGCAGCCACTCGTGGAAGGCCGGGAGAGCCTTTCTTTGCGTGCTAGCTGCAACACTGCATGCCATGGGCCCCTGCATTCCCAGAGGAGAGAGGTGTGGCTGGGACCTGCGCCACCCCTCTGGAGCTTCTGCTCATGAGAGAGGGGGCGTGAGAGACTGCGCAGCTTGTGTTACAGCAGCAGCTGTTGCGCCGCTGCAAACACGACCCGTGGCTCCTCGCTTGTGCGCCAAGCAAGAAGCGGCGCGCAGCAGTCCCTATGGTTGTATGGCTGCTAAGCGCAGCATGGGTGGCAGCGGCGCGGCGGCGGCTCCCCCTTGAAAAGAAATTCGCCACCCATGAGACGCCCTCGCTGCAGAAGCACTGCCGCAACTCTTCATGCAACTGCGGTTGTGCCACCCTGAACCAATTGCCTCGCACACGGACGAAAGATAATCGCTCAAAGGCCTATGCCACCAATTGCGCGGGCGGCCCCACCCGAAGACACGGCCGGCGCCTCGTGCCGCCGCGCCCCGCCGCGTCAGTGCGCGCCGTTGCCGTTGCCGTTGGCGGCGGGCTGCCCGATGCTGCGCGCCGCGGCGTCGTCCAGGCCCAGCGTGGCCAGCAGGCGCTGCCACCTCTCGGGCTCCTCGTCAAAGATGTAGGTCATAGGCTGCACCAGCACCC